ATCTTAGATCTTTAAGTTTGTAATGATATGGCTGATGTATTGGTGGATTCATCGACTTAGATTTGTCATATAAATGTATTTGATTAAAAGAGTAACATATTTTACTTTGGAAAAAGTAAAATGAACCAATAAAGTTCACTTTTGTCACAGAAAGATAAGAGACTGGAAAAAACGGTCCAGAAAATAGTCGGTTTGGTTTGTGTTTGATGGGTAGTTAACCATTCTTTGTTAGTGAGACCTCAGATGAGATGTTCACGAGAGATTTGATCCTGGCGACTGTGCGACAGACCCTCCAGAGATGAGCTGTTCCTTATTTCTGTCCATTTCATGCTTAGAATTACACATGACAACATGCTGCTGTTGCTGCCTCATTACCACAGGAGGCACAGGCTGGACGAGGGGTCACCCATTACTACACGGATGTACTCGGAATACTAATGCCTCTCCTGACCTTTGTCATATCCACAAAATATTATAATGATAACCAAAGTATATGTCTATTTCAAACTAATTACAGCCTCTTTATTTAACATGGTAAATATTTGTCTCTCCTTTGTTGTTTTAAATGAGGACATAGCAGATATGACCTCTGATTAGAGGCCAAATTCTACTTGTACTCATCTCCAAATCCCAAAAATGGAAACATTGAGACTAGGTCTGGCTTTTTAAACATGTTGTATTACACACTGAACGCTCTCAGCGGTTTTGCTGTCACACAGAGCCATCTATTGAAAATTTGATGTCATTAACATGCACACTGGTTCCACTGTGCCTTTTTTATGAGCACCAAAACCCATTTACCCACACTCTGTTCATCATTAAGACATTTATGGTTGTGACGTCTAGTCCATAACCACTCTTTGCATCCATTGCGTCTTTTTCAGACTTTCATACTTGGATTTGTTTTCGATACAAGCCGTTCTAGTTGAGAGATTACTATTTATAGGCTGACCTTAATAGCTGGAAGTCTTTTGTGGGTTCAATTAGATATCTCTGAATTAGTCATTTGCATGCTGCTTAGCATGCACTTGGATTTGTGATGGATTTGTTGACCATTATGTTATATCTCGTTTCCCATCATCAGCACAAAACCACAGCCTGTCGCACTTGGAGCGCAAAGATGCCAAACGCATCTTTGTGCCAACTTCATCAACTGCTTTTCCATGCAACATGATATCAAGGAGGATTTGTTGACTGGGATTAAATTACATTCAGTTTAACAGATGCTGTCAGCCACATTTCATTAACTTAGATGCAGCAAATGAGGTTTTTCTCTGCGTTCAGCAATCTACTGAGATGTATTATCCATTTTCAACGGCGCAACATTTACCCCAGTGAGGAAAAAAAGAACTATAAATTAGACATAGCACATATTTAAAATAAGAGCAACAAATCGACCCTGCTTTGGTTTAAAGAAATTCCTCACCTAAAAGAAAAGTGTCTAAGACACAATTTCTGAATTGGAAATAATCATACGTCTGTGGTTACTTGGCTTAGTAGCATGTATATGCGGTTAGCTGAAGAACACAGAACTCTCTTGTACTTTTAGTGCTAAATACTGAACTACTGACATGATGCAAAAGCGGCTTTGCCTTTATCAAAAAAGCAGAAAGTATATCTTCCATCTGTAACGTGATGTCTCTTTTGCAAATGACCATTTTCTTTGTCCAGTGCAGCTTGATGTTCGACTGCACTGTTTTTGTGCAGACACTACAGGCACGTTGTGTTTTTTAAGAGCTGAGATGCATCTGTATGCAAAGGTTCATGTATTTGTTTAAAAAAATTCATGTTACTTAGTTTAGTATTTGTAGTTTTTATTTCTGCCCTACACAATGTTCCTCCAGGCACCACTTGATGCCATCAAACATGACGTTAGCAGGTTTAGCGTGTTAATCTGGGCAGAGACCATTTGTTGTATTGATCCTGTTCAGTTTGTTACTCAACTGTCATGCTACTGACATTTTGACCTTTGACTCAGTGACTTCTGTTGGGACTCAACAGGGGGGAGTTTGGAAAGTTTTTTTCTGAAATTGGACACAGTGGGACAAGCATGTTGTCTGTATTCCCAAATTGTTGAAGGAAAATGTCACTTAAGAATATAATACTATTATTCATCCTAATCTTTATGATATGATGAAAATATTTTTTCCACCAAAGCATTTGGTTTTCATTTGGACTTTGGGGGTGCTTTTAACTCATATGCCAATGTTCATGTTCTGCAAAGGGACACTTTGCAGTCTTAATAGATTGTGTGGCGTTCTTGGGCAGAAATTCAGCCCCAAACAAACTCCAATAGCCAAAAGCAGAACTTAATGTGCAGCCTTTCCAACCCCTCATAAATTCCTCTTTTTCAGGTTAAACCTAATGGAACTAAATCTTATCTTTTTTTTTCTTTTTTTTTGTGGTTTATTTTGTGGAAAATAAACAAGAAACATGTACGCATAAACATGAGCAGGAAATGCAGGACACGTGGACCCTTTAAAAAAATATATATGTTACCACTTTAGTTGAACAACATGGTCTCAAAACACTAAAGACTTTGTTAGTTTAGCTTTTTTGGCAAGCTTTAGATAAATTACATGCATGTAAATAAAGTGTAGCAAGTACACTTTGAAATGGATGTTTCAAATAGGCCCAGTTGAACAATCGAAGCTCCTCTGCACGCTGCGTGACTCCCATTTCACTTATGTCAGCTACACTCAGTGTGAAACTTCAGTGTGCAAACATCAGTGAGTCATCAAGTGCAACCAAAACCAAAATTACCAATACAAAAACCACCCTGAAAGCAAATCAAATCACAGCCTAATGTTTATTCCTGTTTGGTCTGTTTTCTCTTTTTATATCGCATTCCCTCCAGACGGCACCCGCTGAGTGAGACGGCTCTAACCACTCAGTCGGGAAAAGTGTCAAAACTCAGCAGATTGGTTTGAGACTGAAGGTCCAGATCACGCCCTGACAAACACTAAAAGCGCTTAGTTTCGAACACACTGACCTCAGCCTTAGTGATTATTTGCACATTAGATTTGTTTATGATTTTATGTGATGGTAGAGGATTTTTAGATAGGTGAAAGTAAAAAAAAAAGAAAACGATGGTTGACTTTGTTTGAATATTGAATCGAAGACACAAGGTGCAGAATGTCTGTCCTTATTTCAGCCGAACCACAGCTTTATTTGAACCCTTTCATGAATATTTCACTTGGTTGACAAGCTCAAAAATGTTGTAGCCACTTATCATTTGAATGAATCTGACCAAAACATGCTGCTTTTAAAAATTCAAAACTCCGATTCAGCATTCTCGCTGATGTTTTTCTGCTTTTATTTTTGTGGATTACAATTTTCTATTAAAATTGTGCACACTAAAGAGCGTAAACTATGCAGAAAAAAAACTACACAGCTTTAATATGAGTGCTCGGCTGGGGCAAAAATAATTAATGATTCTTTTTTTTTTATGTTTGGAAAATGACATGATGTATGGAGGACATTGTAATATTTGAGGTTATATTTGTAAATCAAGAGATTGAAATGTCTATAGGCTTTTAGGAACAGTAAAATCTTAATCCCCAGTTCCTCCCTATCTCAGCTCTTGGTTCTGAGGTTAATAAAAGAATAGGTGTCCTATAGGGTCTCTTCGCTCCAAAAACATTCTCAAAGCAATAAAGAATTCATTCGTATACTTGTGGAGAGAGTGAGGCAGGAGCTCACTGTTGTCTCACCTGGTTGTCTGCTTCCACCATCCTGTCAAGGTTAATGCACCATACAGCAGTTATCCACTGCATTTTGTGTGGTGACTAATTTCAGACAGTACACGTTGTCAAATTATCTATAATGACCTCCCTCTTTTTTTCATTTAGCAGTTCATACGCAGACAATTTCCTGTCCCCTGGTCACAGATTAATTCTGAGTTATTTGGACCATAATGTTCCTCCAGTGGATCTTCTAAAACAATGAGTCTAGACAACATTTCTAATTGAGAATCTATCAGTGACTTCAGAAGTGTTTAAACCCTGCAGTTGACAGGCAACTGCTTGGAATATCCTGTGACTTTGTCTCTATTTCCGTCATTCTGTTGAAAATGCAAAACATAATCTCAAGGTAATTTACATCATCCCAAAATGTCCTCTACGTACTTTTTCTCCAGTTGCTAAGTTTCATTGAACATCATTGAAACATTTTTATTCGATGCAACTACATTTTGCTCTGGTTCTCTTTTACTAATTACAAAAATGTTGATTGGTCTGGCTTCAAAACTTTATTTAACCTATTTCTGTGCAATTAACAAGCAGTCAAAACTCTAAACTGAAACTTCTTTATGGGATATTGGAAATAGATATCATTAGCACATTATATACGTAATTATACTTTCTCATTTTCAACAGATACAATACAGATTTTTTTCTAACATTATCTAGTAATTTTATTAATCTAAGTCCGTCCAAATGAAAAGATGAGCATAATCATAAAGTTTTCCCTGATATTATTATTAGTTTAAATTATTCCGGCTCAGTGTGAGAAGGTAATAACTGAAAATTATTTCCAATTGAGATTAAAAATGGTTTACTCTTCATATATGAACCTACACTCATACATTTCTTTGTCCCATGACTTGATCTGGAGGGTTTTTTGTGATCTTAGTTTGGGTTTCAGTCTTCATTTCCAAGTCTGGCATTCATACAGCTCCTAAAATCACCACGTTTAGCTCAATGTGTTCTATCTCTCTTTGTTTTTATGTCGTCTTGCTTCTGTTCTGGTGCACTGACTGATGTAGAGTCATAGTTGGTGCAGCATTTCCATTCTGAAGATGACATCATCCCTGTGGTGGTTGTTGTTGTATTGTACTTTGCCGAGCTTGTGTTACTGTCTGTCAAGGTGACTGCGTGTAGAGGAGGTTAGCTTATGGCATGTATTTCTGCTGTGTCGCAGCTCTCCAGCTGGTGAAGGGCTTGTGATGGGAGGGGGGGTATGCGTTTGAAAGATCAGGGGGCGTGTATTAGGGGTGGGGAAAAGGGGTTATTGTCCTGCCTCCATGCCCTCGGCTGACAACTGAGGATTTCATTTGACAACTTCAAGGTGGAACATGAAAAGACCAAAACAAGAACCGTAGCCCCTACTCCTTTTCACCCCCTCCCGTCTACTTGGGGGAGAGAAAAACAATCTGCCTCATCACTCTGTGGTGGCTGGGTTTGGCTCTTTGTCGGTGCAGGGGGGGCAGCAGGCAGGCAGCGTGAATGCATATCATGACCACAATAGAGCAAACGAGCACAGTTCAGCCATGAAAGCCCAGCGGGAGAGGCTAAGAATTCCAGGGCTGACGCTGGAGTGAGTATTTCCTCTGTTATCCTACTGGGGATTCACCTCCTTGGCTGTGTGTGTGTGTGTATCTTGATCTCTCATATTTGTCGCCGTCTTTCACTGTTGCCCAGCTCTGGGCTGTGTTAGCATTAGCAGCAGCATCTGCAGCAGGAAGTCTGATGTCAAATCCTGCCCAGCTAGGCAACAGCAGCTTGCTCGCGTGTCTGAGTCTGCATGTGTGCTGACACCTTTCTGTTTTCATGTGCGGTAGACAGATCGTGCAAAGGAGTGGTTTTATTTGCAGAGATGACACAAACTGCGCACATGTAGGCAACACACACATAACACCCATCACCAAGAGTGTTTTGGCAGTGTTTGCTATGAGATCAATAAGGTGAGAAGCTCCGAATCACTGAAGCCTGTGTGCTTTACGTCTACGTCAGTGTTATCACAGCCACTGCCATTTGAATTGCTAAATAAATGGATTTTATTTGGGTCAACGAGGCTTTTTTTTTCTGGCTCTCCGTCTGTGAGGATTTTAAATGTGTAACTGAGCCAATGGGCTGATGAGTGACGCTATTTCTATGCAGATTTTGGGGCATATGTGAAAATAATCCACACATTGAACTGATTCTTCTGAGGTGCTGCTCATGTTAATGTATAACAAGAACAACACTTGATTTGAGCTCTATTTTTATATTGAAAATGGGTAAATCCCTATTCTCGTCGAATCATTTTCGAAACAACAAAGATGACAATGAATTTGTTAATCCCTCTTAGAATGGACCAAGTCAGAGGATTAGTTTTTCACTGCTGTGGCATAATTTCCTAAAAAAAAAATCAGTTTAATTATATATAACAACATGTTATCTATGACACATTAAGAAAATAAGGCAGGTATCATCTAAATTTAAGAAAGATAATCCCCATATTACTCAATCATCATTCAAATTCCCACCATGAATTCAAAGACTTCTGCTTTATTGAACAGCTTTTGAAGCCACTGCAGTAAAAGTTGCTCACCTTTGCATGACCTAATGCTCTGCAGTGTTACTGCTGACAGTCCATCTGAAAAAACACTCAGTGCACGACATCGCCTCCAGAGCTAAAAGTCTGTCAGATTTCAGCACTTTTGCCAAGAGCCTTTTATTTCCTTCTGCCATTTTAGTTTGCATCCGTCTACAGGCTCAATGTCATAATCGCACTGCCGAGCAGACGAATGGTTCTGGAACCTGCTCTTCAAACATGATTAAGTTAATCTGACAGGGATCATTTACCCTTCATGACGCTGCTGTCTTCATCTGAGCACGTGTCAGAGCCGTGAGGGGGTGGGATCAGTTCTGTGTGTGTGTGTGTGTGTGTGTGTGTGTGCATGTGTGTGTTTAAAAAACAGTTATTCATTACATTCAATTTAACTTCCAGCCTCACTCCTCGAAGCTTGAGCCCCACTCCCACTAGCCCCTGCAGTCCGTGCAGCCCACTGCACGCTTTTCATTTCTGGAGGTAAGCAAGAGTTCCTTAGCCATTGCTTTTTTTGTTTTGACAGGCTTGTCAGTGCACGTTTGAGTCAATCCTGTCCTCATCTGTCATAATGCTGAAGCTGAGTCTTCAGATTTTCCAACTAAATTAATCTAACATTGACATGACACTGAAAGAGGACATGGGGCTTATGTAATGCTGATAATGCAGACCCTTCCCCCCATCTTACCCCATTCTGTTCTGTGGTTTATGCTCCTCTTTCATGTGCTAAGTAGGATTTGTGGCATTTGCAAAACATCAAAGTGAGGGATGGTCCCAATCTGCCTGAATCCTGGCTTGATTTATTTAGGGATGGAGAGTATTCAAAATGGTAAAAGCTGGTAATGGTTCGATATATACCCTCATTGCTTTGATCTGAACTAGTTTGTGCTTTTATATAAAAACAAATATGTATACGCTGGTTGTGCTGCAGATGAAGAATGAATTTTGTGACATTAAGGTAACCATTGTTTAGGAAATGATTTGTGCATCTGGGATTAGATTCTCATTCAACTCCACATTGTATTTATTCTCTCTTGTTAAATTTGATTGGGAATATGTGCGCCTGGCAGATGAAGTTTTTACATCTTGCGTCTTTTAATATTTTTTCACAAAAGAAAAATGAAAAATTCAGCAGTACAGTTTTTGTTGCGATCTTCTTCCTAAATTGTTCCTCCGAAATGAAGTTTTACTTATAAAAGTGTTTTGTGAATTTTGATTCAGTTACAGATTCAGAGAAAAATGGCTGGAATTCAATTTCAGCTCATTCAAAACACTCAATTCTGAGAAAATTCAGTATCAATGAATAGCTCGAAACACCCACCTATTTCACCCCTGTTCTCCTCTTGTACTGCACAGCTTTCATAGAGAGTGAAGTAGAGCAAGCGTTTCAGTGAGTCAGCTTCATGTACGAGTGTAGAAATGTCTTTTGCTTCCATCAATATGATTATTGATGGTTTCAACTTTTGCTCTGTCATCTATTCATATAAACATATCGGTTGATGTGCATTAAAAGAGGCCTAGTTTAATGAATTAAACAGTCCATTTCCAACTAGTTGTCGACTCTTTTATGAAAATGTTGGTGACATAGAGTATTAACAGGATATTTTCACACATCTATATCTGAAGCCGCTGTGAGCAAGATGTCTTCAGGTTTTGTTTAATGCTGCATAAATATGTTAGGTATGAACTAAAATCTGAAATATTAAAAAAACAACAAAGTGATTCACCATTTTGTGTACCTTACAATTTATTTTATGTACATTTTTACTACACCATAAGGCAGCCTAAATGTGTGGGCCATACATCATTTGAAGCACTGTTGAGACAAAAACCCACAATGAGTAAAGAGGTTTTATCACAGGCTAAAATGCTGCACAGCAGTCTATAATGCTGATTGGCAGATTAAAGCATCTCTTACAGATAAATAGACAGATTTTACTGTAGCAAGAGACTCAGGATACTGAGGGGGGTTTAGGTTTTTTCATGTGGGACTGAAGATGAAATAAACATGGCCTTTAGTGAAACTGACACTATGGTTTGAAATCCACGGAGCGGTTGACTGCTCAAGTATACATTATTTATGCTATCTAATAGAATATTTATAACTTCAACAAGAGATTTATCCAGTATGTCCGAATGTCACACCTGCAGCTGGAGGTGCATGAAAATTTGGAATTGCCAGTATTTTTTAACTGACCTTTGTATTTTATTCATCCTTACACCATTTAACATTGAACAAGAACTCTGGAAGATTGGAAAATTTGTCGAGAGAATCCCTTAAACTTCAGTGCCTGACATAAAAGACGGGAAAACAAAGAGTTGACCATATAACCTGAAACTGGATTGTAAACAGAATCATAGCAAAGAAGATGCACAATCGTAGAAAAGGCTAAAAAACGCTCCTCGATACAGTTCATTCAACTCCCCCTAAACAAACTTCTTTTGAGAAGTTTTTTACTAAACAAACTTTTAAAAAGCAGCTTCAGTAAACGTCTGCTGTAGGCAGTTAAGAAAAATAAAGCTGCCCAAAAACACATTTCCTATTCGTTATAAGTTCTCAGTACACCTTAATTTGTGTTCAATTTAATAACCATAAAAATACACTTATAGCTGTTCAGTTATTAAGCAATCTTTGTGGGGGTTTTTTTGTCTACCATGTATCAGCATATGTACATGCTTTATGTGTTTTGTTAGTATTGACAGTGAAGTGTCAGAGAATGTTGAAGTACACTGTAAAGACTGGAAAAAGATAATTGCAAGGCAGCTTGTTTATAAAAGCTTGTGTAGGTGAAGAAGGAAATTGTCTGTACTCTATTGTTTGACCTTAACACTTGTGCTTACGCTAATTACATTACTCCAAAGAGAATGATACTTAATGTCTCCAGATTGCTGATGCTGTTACTAAGGTTATGACATGCAACCATTTCCTGCTATTTATTTCTTTGAACTGCCAGAAAATGACTCAGGCCAGTGAAAGGACAATAACCCACATCTTCTGCTGGTGATGTCAGCAAATTACAGGCAGTGACCTTGCTATTCGTGCTGCCCTATGCAGATTTGACTTTGAACCGTCGTTACTTATGTGGAGCACAGAAACGGAGTGGAGCCATAATTAGAGTGAAGGCTGTCACACCGGCCCGCAGGGAGAAGGGCCGAGCCACTCTGAGAGAATTAACTCGCAAACTCAGGCGTTCTGCTGACGAAAATGACCTCTGATAGCATTTTGTTCAACAAGAGGTGCACATAAACGGAAGAAGTCAGTCCACACTGGTGCTCTTCCTTTGTTGATTTTTGTTCTCAGTCTCTTTTACTGAGTTTCACTTGGTAAAGGGTTAGACTCGTTTCTAACATCCTGAGGGCTCTCAGGTCGAACTGTTCCATCAGTGGATAATAAGATGATTGGCTGGAGACAAAATAATGAAAGTATCTTAGAAACCATGACCATATATGCATCCGAGTGTGGATGGCTTGTGTTGCTCTTGGGTATCTTCTGTCCCTCAATCTATTTAGTCTGTGGCCATGATCATTAAGACTCCCGGTTATCCAGGACTAGAGATTTGAGCAGAAAACTTCTTTGCATTAGACACCACGCCATCATACTGCCAAGCATCCTATGCTCTCAATGGAAAAAGTTAACTCTCTCAAAGGTCTTTTCGCTTTACATAATAAATGTATCTTTAGAAAAATAAAATAAAATCAAAAAAGTACACTAATTCAAAGACATGTCACAGAACAACTGCAACAGTGGAAAGAGATTAGCAATTTAGTTTGTGGATTAATCGGTCTGTAGCCAGACATTTCATCTTTACCTTTTCTTATTTTATTTTGCTATTTTTTTTTGCTGACTTTTGAAGTGTGTATTTGCAGAGATGAACTTGGCTCTCTCCCGTAAACAACGGTCTGTATTGATTATTTTATATATAAATCAATACGTTGATCTTACTCTGTTAAGAGTTTTACAGAGATTTGTAGTTTTGAGAGGACGTTTTGTGTTTGACCCTGATGGCATACTGCTGGGATCAGCTCACACCAAACTCTCACACTCGCCTGAAATACAAATTCATCACTGAACTGATAAAATACTGTTTTGCTTTATGAATCCATGAATATTGAAAGGTTAGAAAATGTCAATTTCCCTTTATTGAATTTGTATTGGTATTTAGATACTGTTACCTTTTTAAGGCATATTTATTCATGTTTTCTCCATAATCATTTGTGGTTTGGCGCTTATCTGCTTGTGAAGCGGGACAGAAAATGAGTCACGGATCAAAGGTGATTTAGTTAAGGTGAGGTAGGACTCTCAATGCAGGTAAAATCCAAGGGTGGAATTACTGCAGCAGCATTGGAACCTGTGCTAAAGCAAAAAAAAAAAATCCACTTCAAATTTCTCTTGATTAATGCCCTGATCCAACATACCTTTGGAGGGGGGTCACTTTGTGAAAGCAGCAAATTCATAGAAGCATTTGCGGAGGATGTGGTACCCCTCTCTCTCACAAGCTCCCCCCCCACAGAAGGTGAAGTGGTAGATGCCTGTTACATGATACAAAGCATGTTGAGGGAAGGGAGCAGGGCGAGTGTTTGGGATACAGAACACAGTCGCAGTGAGACGGGAGAAGTCAGCTGGTATTAGGTGGCGTGTCCCTGCTGCAGTACAGACTGTCAGCACCTGACCTGGATCACACTCTCTCCGTGCCTTTCAAGATTCTCCCCGCGACACTTTTTTGTTTAAGGACAGTGGAGGACGAGGTGTCCTCCATGCCGGGGCGTTTATGCCGCAGCTGGCTGCAGATGTTTCTGTGCAGAGGAAGTTTGGACCTAAGGACAGCACTTATAAGGACAGCTCTAGGGGTCGCAACCTCCTGAACCCCGACGGCCATAGATTCTCATCAGGCCCTCAAAAGCCCCCTTTACATCTGCCGCTCTGGTATGACCGGGAGATGATGTCAGACTCTAGTCCGTGGACATCACTGTCCAACTTCAATATACCAAATTTCTTCAGCGGATCTCGTTTGCGCCGCTCCAAAAGGTATCATTTAAAAGCAAAGTAACTGCCTCAGTCTGTGCTTTTAAAATGCTTTTTTTTTTCTTGTAAAGCTTTGTTGGTTGCATGGAGAGATTAGTTTTCATATTCCAAAAACGGTCACTGTCAGTGACTAGTTGTGTTTACATGCAAACATGTTACCTGAGCTGTTTCATGAGGTCAACATCAGTAAGAAGACGGGTGTTCCCCTCTTCCCTCCTGTGTATTATTTGCTTTGTGAGTCAAATGGTAATTGAATGTTTGTTGCCGAGGCAGTCTCGGGTTCCTTGCACAGGATGTGTACTTTCTATGTGCCAACCCGGGTAGATAACACCAGGTACATGTGCTTATGTTACTGCTAGTTGCCATTATACCTTGTCAATAAAAAAAAGCTCTCAGCTAAGGAAGGAAGGGGCTATTCCTGAGGAAAATGTTTGTTGTTTTATTTTTGAAACATTCCTAATATTGTTGTATTAAAAAGTCATTGCTTTATGGGACTTAGAGTGTGGAAAGTGGTTTACAGCTAAGCCATTTGATCCCAGTTGGTTGTATATGATGGGTCTCAGTATTGGTGAGGGTCTATACAATGATATTTATTTTTAATCCCTCTCCTGACCTACTTTTGTAAAATGCAGCTTAATATAAAATCATGAAGACATTCAAAAATGGAGCAGGAAAATGTCATGTTGGAAATCAGTGAAGATAAACATGAGAAAAAATATTTAACATAGATATTAAAAACATGGCTTTTTCATTCTGTAAAAAAAGGATTTTGTTGTCGTGTCACGGTATACTCTTTTTTTTATTTTATTTAAATTTTATTTTTTTAACTATGAAGAAACTAGATACTATAAAGAAACTAACCACTATATAATACATTTACTATATAATACATTTACACCAAAGAACCAAAGTACGACAGAAAAGCTGGATCTGTCAAAATTGTAATACTGCAAATCTCCACATGTAGCAGTGGCTAAAAGAAGAAGCCTTTTTTGTTGGCTAGTGAAATTTGTCACAGTGTTTTTATACCCGAGAAACTTTAAAGAAATACTATTAATAGAGCTGCGTGTGCCAAATGAGTGACTTTGAATTCAGGTTTGTAGGCACAGCAGCTTCTCGTTTCGCTTTGTCAGCTCACTTGACAGCTTTGACGAGGAACTGCAAACTGCAAAAGTGAAAAAGTGCTCATGCCGTATTGCTGACAGGGGTCAAGATCAGATACATGGAAATCGTTTTGATTTCCAGATTCAAAGATCTATTTTTGTACCTTCCCGCAGCCTAAATGATTAAACCTAATAGATTTTGACAGATTGAGATTACTTTGAGTTAATGTTGGTTGCTTTAAAAAATAAAAAGATCAAAATGGAATGGCTGAAATGTGAGGTGTCAGTCGGTGGATAAATATTTCCAGCCCCTTATTTTCTGCGTGTGAGCCGTAAGACAATGGTGTGATGATGCTGCAGGTTTTGCATGAAAGAGAGATTGTTAAAGCTCATATAGATCTGTTCCAGCAATCCGATGTCTGCAGTACAGTTTAAACACTGGCCTACTTTCTCCCTATCATCTTGGCCCAGGGCTTTTTATCCCCCCTTTTAAAGTCTCAACATGATTCCCCCTCGTGCTTCACGCTGCACAGGTGTCCTAACAGGAACTCAGCTCAGTATCAGATGTTAGGAGGAAGACCTGCATCCCATCAGTCTGTGGTAGTCTTTTTTGTGAAGTAATCCTCAAGCAGTCAGTCTCATGTCTCCACAAGTGGCGCTCGGCTCAGTAATGTGGGTTGTGAAACTACAAACAGAAATGTGACAGGAGGTGAGAAAACAAAGCAACAGTTTTGACTGCACAGTGACATGGCATTAGTCCACAGTGAGAATTTAAAAATAGATCTTTTTAAATCTGAGCCTCTTTCACTGAGCACCTGTGCACCAGATATTATTCACTCCCTCATGATAAATGATTCATGGCATGTGTCCACTCTCCTGATTGCAGGGTTAGCCCGAGAAAACACTTGAGTAAACAAGCATGACTGGGATTTAAATCAAAACAGAGTTTCCCTGCTGACTTAAGGAGATGAGTTTGGATTTTGCAGCCTTAGTAGGGCAGCAGCAGAGCTGTGGGAAACTACAGGCAGTTCATAACACAATGCTAGTGTGTATCCTGTCATTGTGTTGACAGATGAAGGTGAAAGTTGCTCTCGGTGCCTTTGGGTTTGCCTGAAAAAATTCACCTGACTTTCTTCTATCCTCTGGTACAGCTATGCAAACTTTTGGTTCAGAATCCCTCAACTTTGGAGATGAATCTGCTTGAACATTTTACCAGATTTAATTTAATGCTCACTTACCAGCTTTAGTATTCTGATCTTAGTTGCACCATATTTAGCATATTTAACATATTTAACATTCTACTGGACCTTTTACAGTATCTGACCATACACACTGCTGCTTTGGAAGGAATGCTCTAGAAATGAAAGATTAGTTCTCACATGTCAAACTGTTGGAAATCACATCTTTTTTTGCCCAGAGAATTAACTACAGCTCTATAGTTTGGGGAAATTAGCATAATGCTCTTACAGGAGTAATTCAATCATTGAATGCTGGAAAGATCCTTTGGATGTTTCGGTAGAGTTGATTAGTTTCTGAAAAATCTGTCATAACCATCTCACTACTTAGAGGTGAAGTTTTACATTCAGTTTGTCTTTAAGATGCAAGAGAACACACAAGGGAAAGCCAAAATTCTGGGCCAAAGTATTAAAATATTAAGAGTATATTTAATCTGATGTGTGTTTTTAAAGCGCTGTATAAATGAAATTGGATTGGATTAAATTGGATTATCCATTATTGACAACTTTAAGCCCGGCATTCAGTTGTTGGGTGACGGTGTGCTATCTGTGACTCTATCAAAGCATTTGAGTTGGTCTTTGAAGCACAGCGATTTGATTGGATATCACAAAATGAGAAAAGTTGCGCAGCTCTTCTCTTGGAGCAATGTGACATTGAGGCTTTGAGAGCTCTGCAGCGTTAACAGAGACACACGGACCGCCAGCTCGTGTGTTTCAGTGCATCCTGTGTGAATTTGATCGCCGCTGCAGCACAGAGATAGGAGGGCTGCACTGGTGACAGACACACTCTTTCCTCTTGTGTATCTCATCTCGTCGTGAACGGTCGTTGTGTATCTATCCCTGATGTTAAGTACATCATACAGCAGATATGCCGCTCTAGAAGAAGAAATTTATATTTTTGGAGCTGTATATTGTATATTTCATTGTTCAGTTGTTGTTTCTTTTTGTACAGTGTAGATTACTGTGAGCAATGTCTTGGAAAAACTCTGTCGGAAATGGCTCAAATCTCGGAGGAGGTTATGTAACAGCATGTCATCGATTTGAGTCCATGACCTTGAAGTGAATCCATGTTCTTCAGGCGTCATGTGTTTCCACTGACAGCCTCTAATCTGCAATTAGAAACCCAACACTAACTGGGTCATTAAACAGTGAAGCTGCTTTAACATTGAAATAATTCATTCTCTCCTCCGTGATGAAAAACTCGGCTCAATTTGTTACTGTGTTTTTCACGGTGGCTCTTCATGAGTCACAGTCCTGTAAAAACATGGCCAGTAAATATAAAAGCATAAATGCTCTGCACTGAACCTGCTTTTTTTGGAGACCAAAACAAACTGTTATGTTACTTGTTTTTGTAATACAGTTTTTGCCACTATTAATTTAACGACTGTTTTTGTCCTTTTGAAGTGTCACCGTAAAGGAATAAAATGAGCAATGCTTTAACACAGTACTTAGATATTTTTCTTTGCTCCTTGCATTTAAGTCTCCTGCAAGTGGTTTGTAAGATGGACATTACTTTACAGTAATTTCACATTAGTGTATATGCATCTTTGATGGATTTGCTAAAATGATGTTAAACACACAAACGTTAAAAGCTAACAGGGTTTTCCCTAACTGATCATGTGAAAGATAACAAACATACCCGCAGTATACAAAAACTGGTGTGTTGCAACACAGGATGTCAGTACACTAAGATGATATCATTCAAAGGGTGGCAATGTAACCATTTTTCTCTTACAATAGAAAACTATGTGAAGGTATTTAATTGGCATTTCTTTTTCCCCTTTGCCAGATCTCCAATAATATCAGTAGCTAATAGTATGGTTGTCTCTACTTTGATTCTAAGATGCTGCAAGAATGCAGTTGCTGCCTACAGTTAATTATTAGGAAGATGTTTTAATGCAGTGATGGGCTTCCAGATTCATCTGATAATCTGGGTTTTCTGAAGTCTAAACATTGGCTGCTCTCCAGCTTTTCATAGTGATTTAAAACGCATCCTCACACTACAGGCTCAGGCATCAGGCTCCTGATGGGCAATCACACAAACAGCTAGAAAACCAGAGTGTGGGTCATGGTGGTCACAATGAAAGAAATCTCAGGGTTCTGACCAGGTAGTCCCAATAGCTGATTAATCAAACCTTCCTCTATCATGCTCTTCTGCAGATGCCCACCCATACCTTTTGTATGAAAGCAGACACATTAGTCCTTAGTAGATTTATGGCTAATTTAGGAGATCGCCTATTTAAAATGTTTCACTCCTCCTCTTAAGAGTCCAATGTTTTTAAAAGCAAAGCTGAGTCAAAATTATACTTTCAACCTTCTTAAGTCCAAGGAAGGAAGTCAGGATGCCTTTTTTCAAAAGGTTCCATGAAAGCCTTTTAAATGTCAGTCCACTGTTTGGGGTTTGCCTGCTGCATGTGTTGTTTACAGTTTGTGCCTTTTCCTGTCTGATCAGTGCCTCTCTGGTTTCGCAGCTGTAGAACGAGCAACAGAAAAAGCCTGATAGGAAGCGGTCAGTCATCAGGGCTACCACGACCTCACTCTCCTCTCTCATCTCTTACAGGTAAGTTTATATCCGGTTTGTGTTCATTTCAACAAATGTGTGAGCAGAACCCTGAAATCCCCAGAGTTGGAAACGTACCCACGGGGTGCACAGAAGAGGAGCCATTAATTCACAATGTTCTCCAGCTGGAATGTAGTCCATTGTGTGATGCATGGAAAACAGCACAGGAACATATTCGGCTCACTCTTTGCAACAATAGACATTGGTATCAAAATGCCAGCTCTTATCTGGGGCCCTCATGCTATTATAGTTAGAAATGGAGAAAAATACAGTGAGTGTTTCTGATAGACTGAATATACAAGGACCTGTTCGGAACTAAATGCAACCACGGTGTCGTAAAAGAATGACTTTGTCGTACATGTATTGATTGTGTCAGGTCAGTTGCGTGGCTGAAAGCTTCATGGTACAGTGGTATATTAAGAAGCAGTGATTGTTTTGGATGTGGAAGTGGTAGCTTTCAGAGAGGAAATGCACATGAGCAGAGGGAGGGGAGGCCTCATTTACCACAGGGCGTTTTATTTCCTGCTATTGCAAGACGAAAGCAGAGGCACAACTCGGTGTTTAGTCTGCGTTTCGATCTGATTGAGGAGGACAGAAGTAAAGATGGATTCAAATTCTGACAGCCTGGGTTCTCTTGCAAACGAATGTGTTCAGCTGTGGGATGACTTAACACTGTGGCTCCGACGTAGCATCTGTTCCAGAGGCAAGTAGATTATAACTTCTGTTCAACCATAGACGCTTGTGTCTAAGGCCATTATGGAGAATGATTATTTAAGACATTTCTGCAGACATTAAATGTTGTTGTGCTTGTTATTCTGAATGCTTTTACAACAGATGCTGCTCTTTTGGGTACTGCCTTTTGTTTCTTTCAGAAAACGTTGTTTAGAAAATGTTACTTTGAGTGCTGTCTGGTTCCTAAACAAGACGGTATGGTTTTGAAGTAGCCGATTTAGATTACAGTGCACTGAAATTATGGGTATTTAGAACTAGAATGATTTAGTAGTTCTATCACTATGTTCCCCCCTATGTAATAGGCCTTTCTTCATCGTGGCATGAGACGGCGGGATTGTAACCAGTAACAATTAATTAATTGGTACTTCCCTCAGTGAGGGATGCAATTATGTCTGACTAATGCTGGGCCCTTTGTTTTCTTTTGCATCAAGGGTTTGGAAACACATGCATATTGCTGTCATTGCAGTCACAGATGACTTTCAGCCAGATATACATGAATTAAGATAAAAAAGTATTCCTTTTCATTTACTCGATGAGTTCCAAGCCTGCTGGTGAGAGGTAATATAATTAAAGGAAGGAAAGATTAAATGTTGCATTGGCCATGGAGGAGGATGTGCTCCTCTGCTTACAAAAATAGGATGTACATTCAACCAAAGTTATAGTCAAAACAAGCTTGTTCAGTCAAGGTAGAAGGTCAAATGTATTCACAAAGAGCTCCCATAAAACAGAACCAAACAGAATTTGAATGAACAAAATCCATAACAGGCGGAACGACTGCCACAGAAAAAAGGCGTTACAAGCAGTAAGAATTATTTGTATATGTAATGAAAAGAATTTCATAAAAGAACAATGCTGAATTCATGAGTTTGAAACAAAATAATCTTTATTTAAATATGTCGAAAGAACTCTATTAGGGTATGACTCCACTGCTGAATTTATTATTGATGCCCATTTTCATGCTTTTCTTGTTTGCTTTTATGGCATATGAATAAGTAAGAGGTTTAATTTTTCTTTAGTTTACATTGTACTCAGTCATTCTACTTTAGAGTTCCCTGAGCGTGAATCGAACTGATATGTAGTCTTATACTTTTGCATTTTTAGTTGCCAGGAGGCCTCATTTTACCCCAGTCTGACCCTGAATTATTTGTCACTGCTTTTACAGCTTCCTGAATTGACTCCTGTGCGGTGCTTTTAACCCCCTTCTGCAACAGAACAAAACTCAGCCAGCAGGCTCATTTAGCCGCCTCAGTCCTCCAGGTTTGGTGGTAGTTGAGAGCCGGTCCAAAAGCCATCCAGGAAGTAGCTTATTTTTCCAGCTGCAGACCTGGATGCAGTAAAGCCGTCAGGGGAAAGCCACGGCATTGCTTTTTCTGTTGATGAGAGGATTATGAGCAGTAGCTTAGAGCTAGTGTCCTCAGGGCAGTATTTAAGAGAGTTGAAGCTTGTCCTGGAACTACACCTGTACCCCATTCCAGGTCTTCAGGCTGAGCAGGGAGCAATATGTGACACAGCTGGGTTTTCACACAAATAGTTGCAAAATAAGGACCAACTTTAGGCAGCCATCATATGTGGTGCTTTAAGGTTAGTTATTTGCTAACTTGATTTTCTAATTCCACTGAATGGTTGAACCATTTGATAACAGGAGAAAATTTACTCTCACCAGCTGCTAATATCAGGTGTCGTGATGCATTGATTCTGTTGATTGTTCATATTGTTTAGGATTATTCTGCCACACATTCTTACATTATCTTATTCTGCCGGTCTTTATCTAGAGGTGGCTCAGACCCTCTTGGATAAAAACTTCTCTTTGCTATCAGCGTTTATGTTCACTGGCTCTTCTATGATGTCATGGTTGTTGTCTTAACTCATACTGATGATGGCTTGTAGCTGAAACCTATTAAAAAACACAACTACATTATCAAGAATTAAGCTATAGGCGCATTATTATTGTGTATTGTTGTGTCTGTTTAACTGGAAAATATGGGAACAATGTGTCCTTAGTGATTTAGCTGATGTAAGATATGTTATCATGAATACAAATATATTATGTTTTTTTGGTCTCTGTACCTCTCGTGACTTGTAATTTATATTACTTTAGACAATCTCTTACATAAATTTAATGATCATCATTCTACAGTTTGAGCTTCTGAAGTGTCAGAATTAATAGAGTTTATTAGCCTGCCAGTAAATCGACTGATATATTGGCTTGTATGCCAACCTGTGTGGTGATAAACCAGATGTAAGTTATCAGTGGCCTCTACAGTCTTTGCTTTGGCTGAAAAATTATACTGGACTCTTTGTTGAAATTGTGCATCCAGGTTGCTTTCCTTCTTTAAAATTGGAGTATCTGTTTATCTGTGTATATCTTCGTGCAGGAACAAGTCCACAAGACAGCCCCAGAAATTTCTCTCCCAGTGCCTCTGCTCATTTCTCCTTTGCACGAAGGTAACTTGACCCTGGATATATATTCATTAAGCCACCACACTCTACACTCTGTCAGTTAATAAGAATATTAATATTTTTTGCCAGCAAATGTGTAAAACTTCAGTTTGTTTACTTCAATTGCTTCATTTATTTGATCCCATTTCTCAACACAATGTCATATAATGTATTTTTGTTATAATCCACAGTCATTGCCACAGAGCAGACAGGTAACTTCGAGAAGGGCTTTTGTTTGCCCTCAGAAATCCTTCCCCCCCATATTTGTCTATAGTAACCTGTATTGTTCACACCGTCCTTCATTAGCAGTTTTCTTTTCCTTCATTTAAACTCTTAATTCACTTTCCCTCCACTCCTTCATTTTTCTGTAAAGTGACTGATATAATTCATCATGAAAAATTCCAATGCAGCCCTTCATTTACAACCTTTGTGATCATTCAGGTTTTAGAGGTTTTCTCACATGTTTTGACTGCAAACATGGGAGTGTCTCCTTGTAGACCAGCATGGTGTAATTACTTTGTGTGTTTGTACAAAGATGGCTCCTCCTTACTCAGTGGCATTTCAACACGCTGCCCATTTCAGTTGTCGGGTCATTGATCTGTTTGTGGCTGCTGTTGTTGACAGGACTGATGGCCGGCGCTGGTCTTTGGCCTCTCTTCCATCCTCTGGATATGGAACCAACACACCCAGCTCCACAGTCTCTGTAAGCATCACTGACTCAAATAGAAAATTAAAAAGCATCCACCTCATAAATCTGGTCAAAATATGTCTCATTCTTTCTTCATCTCATCTAAGTTTAATTTAACTTTCAATTTCTGTGCAGTAATACAACATAAAAAAAAAATCAATAAATGGATCAAATTATTAAAATTGTTAACATATGTTGTATGATTGATCCTAATTTCAGATGCAAAATGGAAGTTGGAAGTGAGAACATATTTCTTGTTTTTTCTAAAAATTCTATTCTTTCAATGCATTTATTTTTCATTATAACATCCACATGTATATTTCGACTTCTATGGAATACTGGTTAAAAACTGTAACTTATGATAGAGAAAAAATGAAGCAAACGAAAAAATGATATTAACATTTTCAATTTTTGTCTGCATCTTTCCTTGTTCACTAATATTTTAACATGTTTCATTACTGACTGCATCTGAGAGGACAAAGATTTGTTTTTACCAAACATGACTTTAACAAGGAGGCAGATCAACTAACGCACTCACCCTCCATTTCTCCCCTTTTTGTGTCTTTCTCCATCGGTCTACAACCACGTATAGGAAGTGGTATGAGTCTGTACCCAGTAATACAGATTGACAGGAATTACAGTGTGTCAGGGCGACGTGAAATGACCCATTCTTCGTTCTTTTGTATGGTCTTTGGTCATAGTGAATTTCCTGCCATTCACACAATGCAAAGGAAGCGTGTTCTTGTTTTCCCTTGAGCAAGGTTTTTGTTTTTTTGTTTTTTTTCTGTTTTGCATGTATGAATTCATTGAATTTGCACCATGCGTACATGAGTTGCTATGACGTAGACATGATTACTTTAGTTGATTAAATGATTTGGTGTCTCATTTCTTTGCTGTACTCGGATACTCTCATATGAGTCTGAGAGCAAAACTCACCAGAGTGGCAGTCAGTTTTCTCTCCAATCAGCTAAACAAAGATATATTAAAATTCAAAAGAAGTTCATCCAGATTTTTTAAGCAGTTGTTAAGTTGGGGAGCAGATAAAACAAATTTATTTTAAAGCTTTTATCTTAACTGACTATTTGAACTGTGTTAAAGATTCATAATGTCAATAAGATAAAAGAAAAACTGTTTTGCTCTTAAACCAAAAGTTATAGGTTTCTGCTGGTGGGTTGTGTAATATAGTTGTTTGGGGTTGAAGGAATTAAATACAAATCTAAGGAAGTTTGAGCTTTAGTCAGTAACAGTGACATTGTTATTTATTATTTGAGGATGATACTTTCAAAAAATAAAATCCATCTATCATCCCAACAGTCTGCTTTACTAACTTGAACTAAACGCTTGGTAAACTAGAAACTTAATTATTGCAGCTATATATTTTGACTGTTAAAAACAAACAACCAAACACACAAAAGACAGAGAAAAGCCTCATCTACTTTTTTTTTCTTTTCATGTTGAATATATATTTGTTTCATTTCCAGTCATCCTGTTCATCACAGGAGAAGCTGCACCAGCTGCCCTTCCAGCCAACACCTGATGAACTGCACTTCCTCTCCAAGCACTTCTGCACTGAGAGCATCTCTGGGGAAGAATGCCGCAGAGCCACAACCATGCGACCCCGCTCACGCAGTCTCAGGTACTGAATTCCCTCTCGCGTGTCTCAGATATGCATGGCATTGTTACTTTTTCTTCTCTGACTCTCGTCTGAAATATTTTTCAGCCCTGGAAGATCTCCGTCTTGTTATGACCATGAGATTATAATGATGAATCACGTCTACAAGGAGCGGTTTCCTAAGGTAAGGTCTAACAATAGCTTTTCTGCAGCCCAGTGTGACCGTTCACAGCCATGTGCCTCACCCAACATGCTCTTCCCACATCTCGCCACAGGCCACTGCTCAGATGGAGGACAGAATTCAGGAGATCATCCGCAGCAACTCTCCAGAGAGCGTCCTCCCTTTGGCAGACGGAGTGCTCGGGTTTGCCCACCACCAGATAATCGAACTTGCCCGTGACTGCCTGGAAAAGAGCCGGCTCGGACTCGTCACCTCCAGCTACTTCTGCGAACTCACTGACAAGCTGGAGAGGCTTGTTCAAGAGGCGAGCACACATTTGAAAACCCAAGAAATATGTTTGAAAGACTGTTTTTCCTGCAAATAAGTTTCATAAAGCTACATTCATTTTTTAAGATTTATTTAGATTTTGAAGCTGTAGAACTAAGTTCAAGTTATTCCTACAGTGCATACAGTACATAAATTACATTTCCATAAGTAAAACATTTTTTAGCAAGAAGGTCCTCCATAAGACGAAAAAGTAAAAAGCTGTATATATATGTCTAAGTTAAATTCATCCCTACAGTACATAAATTGAATTCCCATAAATAAGAAAATCTTTAGCAAGAATGTCCTCCATAAAATGAAAAAGTAAAAAATTCTCATAATCTGTTGATCTTGAAATAATTATTCACAAATTAGATACTTATACATTAGTTAGAAATATAAATTACCTTGAAACTAATTGTCTTTATTTGTATTGCAGTAATCAAACTTTCATTGTTTTTGTCATGGTCATTTGGTTACAAATATGTAAATAAAAGATGTAGGTAAAATCTTGTTTATCTTTATAGAGTCTTTATGGAGGGCAGCTGGATATGTTTTTTAACTTAAGATCACTTGTTTTCAATGTTAATGGTACTATTGATATCCACCCTGTCATTTTAATTCAAAAGTGACATATGACAGAAATGAGGAGCTACTCTTTATCTATGCCTTTGACAAATGGGATTGAATATGAAATGACTGAGATTTTCTTTTGTCGCTTGTTGTGTAGTCCACAGAGAGGTCGGATAGCGAGGAGGTAAACTTCATCAGAGAGCTGGTGAAGAGGATCCTCATAGTGATCGCTCGTCCTGCTCGTCTGCTGGAATGTCTGGTACGTTTCACTAAACAGCGTCCAATAAAATGCCTTTCAAGGGTAAATTATTGTCAGAATTTCTAATCTCTCGGTCAGTACACTAAAAAATCATAGAATGAATTATTTTTGAAGAAGTGTCTGGCTTTCACTGGGACAGTTTAAAATACTGATGTGGCCCATACTGAGGCTTTGCCGAAATAGCAATAAGTAGAACAAATGCCACACAGCATGTGTGCACTTGTATACATGCACATCTTTAATAATTCTCATCTATACATATGTATTTATAGGAGTTATCACTTCTGTTTTCTGTGAAATACTAAATTTGCAAAACTGAAATGATTTTTTGAGCATGGTTAAGTCTTTATGATTGATGAGCTATTATTTTTGTGGAGACTTCAGATACTGTTCATTGCGGTATAGACGGTGGAGATTTCAGATGCTGTACATTGTGGTATATTGTTTGAAATATGTTGCTCCTTTTTCAGGAGTTTGACCCTGAGGAATTTTACCACCTTCTGGAGGCTGCTGAAGGACATGCTAAAGAGGGCCAGGGCATCAAAACGGACATCCCTCGTTACATCATCAGCCAACTAGGACTCACACGAGATCCTTTAGAAGGTATGTTAAACTCTGCGTTCTGTCATTTATTTATACATTCCAGCATCTTTATCCCCCTGAAAGGTAGATGATACGCAGTGTTTCATTATGAGCTTGTAAAGGAATGAAATAACTGAGTTGTGGAGGGGAGAAGAACATAAAGCTACACTTGACGGATATCTTGTTCCAAGCAGTCCATCTTTTTAATGACCCTCTGTCTCTCCAGAATCAGTAGCCAACAACATTCATTATGACTAATTAGAAAGGAATGGTCTCCCTGTAGACTGTGCACAGATCCACACAGACTGGCTCTTCTCTATACGTTTCCCCCAAAGTGTTTGGTTTGCCAGTGCTTAGTGTGCCTGAACCGAACCTCCAAGGACGGACAGATGTTAAATGGCTGTCTAAATGTGTTTTCAACCCCCTGTGGACATACTAACACCCCCTTTGTGAAACTGCACACATGGACGTTAACATTGTTGCTCACACAATATAAAAGATGCAAGGCGGCCTCTAATCAGCTCTTGTTCTGGATTGGTGATTTTCAGAATGAGTGTTAGATCTGTTTGTGTTGGTAAATTTGATTTCTGCCCCATTTATTCTCAGTTCCTGTTATCTCAGAGTCAGCACCTGTGAGTTAATTGGTGAAAAAAGTCTTAAAGTGCCCCATTTTTTTAATTATGTTCAAAGGTTTCTGACTTTTCAGCATTTATGTTGTCTCCATTTGAATAACTGCACTGTTAGTCAACTTCGCATGATTACGAATATTTGAAACTACAATGCTGTTTTTATTTACTTTCCTGTTTTTCTGTGCAGAAATTGCTCAGCTGACCAGCTGTGACAGCGGGATTGCAGAAACCCCAGAAACAGATGACTCTGTAAGTGCTTAGAAATTGATTTGTTGCATGGCATTTCACCCATCACCCAGGCAAAGCGACGGAAAAATATTTGATCTTTTTTATTTGTCTCCCTTAATGTCTTAAGTCTCAGAGCCTTGGAACAGCCTTGCAGTCCCGAAGGAAACCCTGTGAATTGGACTTTGAGATGACAAAACTCATCAGCAATGGTGCCTATGGGTAAGGTTTCTTATCTTTTTTCTCATTTTTCTCCTTTTGTTACCAAAGAAAATTGGAATTCTTTCTAATGATCACCTATTCAGGCACAGCTGTGATATCCCTGCTAACTGGTAAACTTGTCTGTTTCTCAGAGCTGTTTATCTGGTTCGCCACAAAGAGACTAAGCAGAGGTTTGCTATGAAAAAGATCAACAAGCAGAATCTGATTTTGAGGAACCAGATACAACAAGCCTTTGTGGAGCGAGACATTCTCACCTTTGCTGAGAACCCCTTTGTGGTGTCCATGTACTGCTCCTTTGAGACACGACGGCACCTGTGCATGGTTATGGAGTATGTTGAAGGTCAGTCGCTGTCTGCTTTTGTGTCATGTGGTGCAGCTAAAAGCAGACTCCTTTGAACTATGCCCTCTTTTTTTCCCGCATTGCATACTTGTAATATCCCTCTTTTGATCTATACAGGAGGAGACTGTGCCACCCTTTTAAAGAATATGGGTCCACTGCCTGTGGATATGGCCAGGATGTATTTTGCAGAGACGGTACTGGCTCTGGAGTATCTGCACAACTACGGCATTGTCCACAGGGATCTCAAACCTGACAAGTGAGGCATCATACACTTTTAAAAAGGCTTGATCAGATTTTTTTAATTAAAGAGCAGCCTATAGTAAAGAACCCACCTGTTCCTGTCCCCTGCTTTTACAGTTTTCTGCACTGGTTAAAAAAATTCCTTTCGTTGCTTTGTTTTTCCCTTCAAACTCTTCTATGGCAAGATTGTTATTAGCAAATATAATCCATGTATTTTGAAAAATAATATATAATTGTTACGGTACAAAGAATCCTTTCCGTGTACTGTGAAAATTTCTCCAGCGTCACTCTATGCAGAACCAGGCTGCCTTGAAAAAAACATCAACAGTATTTTAAACTTAAGTAAAGTGATAAGAAGCAGCTTCCTTTTTTTTTTAAATGTAGATATTTATCATGTAGTCCATGTTCTCTGCTCTTTGATTTTGCAGCCTGTACTGCATAAATTACATTTTTAGGTAAAATCCTTCCACAAAGACAGGAAAAGATCCACCTAACTCTGGATTTTTGTTGAGCTCTATGCACTGTTCAGATTTACTTTTGCTTTTGGCCCAGTTTGTTTTGGACCGAGAAACAGCTACTCTACTTCTACGCCCAGACGTTTGAGGAATTCAAATATTTTTATATTTTGCTCAGTTTGTCCAACTTCTTAATTTCCCTGAATTTATACAGAAACATGAACTTTACCACAATTGTCTAACCATGCTACTGAAACAAGGCATGTGAATAATTCCATTCCTCCTCCTCTTTACAGTCTGCTGGTGACTTCAATGGGTCACATTAAACTCACTGACTTCGGACTTTCCAAAGTTGGGCTGATGAATATGACCACTAACCTGTATGAAGGACACATAGAGAAGGATGCAAGAGAGTTCTCTGATAAGCAGGTAATTGTTACTTTAAACAGGTTATGTGCAATAGAACAACATATTTTGTATTAAACTATTTTTGGGGGGTTTTCTTTAGGTTTGTGGAACCCCAGAGTACATTGCCCCAGAGGTGATCCTAAGACAAGGCTATGGTAAGCCAGTGGACTGGTGGGCGATGGGCATCATCCTCTATGAGTTCCTTGTGGGCTGTGTGCCTTTTTTCGGAGACACGCCGGAGGAGCTGTTTGGACAGGTCATCAGCGGTCAGTGTTTACCCCCCACCACCCTTCTAATCACTTGAAAATTAATATCTATTTGGTAAATTGCATGGATTGGGTTCTGGGCCTATTTGGTTAGTTTTTTTTTGTTGTGCATTAATCTACTTGTTTGGATAAACAACTTGGAAAATGGAGAAAATCTGGAGGCAGCATCAGATGGAGCAAGAAGAGTTAATGTTTATGGTCAAATCAGACAGTTTCCTGCAGCCTCTGTACAGGAAGTCACAGAAACACTCACATCCCGTTGGATCTGATTATTACAATGTTATCAGACTCATACATCAGTTGTTTCGCTGTGGAGCCTCGTAAATTGCTATTTAGACAGTCTGTGAACATTATTTATTCTACATGAACTGTCACGTAAGCCACCATTGTATCCCTTTGCAAACTGTACAGTAAATCAGCTGAGAGTATGTTTTCCTCTCAGACAATATGAATACATTTAAAACACAGAAGAGCTCAAAATCAGACCATCAAGTCATCAAAGATGTGCAATATTTCAGTAAATAGGTTTGCTAGAGCAAACTGGAGTTATAACGCTGAACATTTGAACAACATTTAAGATTTATTGGTTGAATTTGTTCTGCCTCAATAACCAAACATTTCCATCAACAAAAAATTTTCTCTGTAAAGTCTGACGAGGCTATCGAAGCCATGCCCCACAGCAGGTCCAAATCAACTTTTTATCATGCCGACAAATAAACTGCACTGAACTGAACTTTCCAAAATCCATCACTAGTGTCTGTTTTTCACAGGCCCGATTGATTTAAAACAAACAAAAAAATGAATTAATCGACCGCATCTTTGTTCCCCTCGATTAAATTGCATCATGCTGAATTGAAAATGTGTTTAAATCTTACTGGGGTTTGAATATTTTCTGCTTCTGGAGGTGATTTGGGACAGGTTCCACAGCATCTGGTGTGATACTGCTGTGCTCATCAGGACAAATTCCCAGACCTCATTCAGATGTGAATTAACCATTTGCATAATGAACACATGGATTTCTTAGTTTATTGAAGACTGAGATTTCCCTGAGGACTAGTAGAAAAACAGATGGTAGTGAGTGGGTTTAGGTTAAATCAAGACCAAAGTGAAGTTGGAATATCATGGTGTTGTAACTGTGCCGCTCTGTGGTGAGCACAGAGAGAATTTTCATCATCAAACTGGAGACATTTTCCTGTCAGGGCTGCAGCTCTGATGATTTGTGCATGGAACTGTCGGGTAACAATCTCCATGTGTGACATAGAAATGAATGGCATGCCATGACTGATTTTGTTTTCGCTCAATCAAACCACACCAAGCCTCTGAGAGGGATTGTTAATTAAAGAGGTCTTAACACGCTGAATGCTTGCTACCGTGGCCTCAGGACACGCGTACATATTCATAGCTTTTGCCCAAATTTGATTAAAATGGAGGACAAACAGCGCTCAAAGCTGACAATCAGTGTGACACAGACAGGATTTTCCCTTCTTTTTACAGATTAAACATGAAGTCTTTCACTAAGAACCAGGGAACACAGAAATTGTCTCCTCACATAACACTTTATCATAGAAGTAAGATTTGCTGGAGGGGGGTGCTATGACGGTTTTTCACATTACCGTGTTTGCACAAAAATAGATGAGTCAGTTTGTCAAAATGCTTTCTGGAAAACCCAAACTACTTGATTGATGCACAACACTGATGTGCCACGTGTTTTGTTACTTAGAACCATTTGGAAAATCTTTAGTGAAACATTTACCATTTTACCTCATTTACCACTTCTGATTTGATTCTTTGGTAACATTGCTACTAAAAGAATATGTGTAACACTTTATTAGCCCCTAAAGAGATGACTATAACAGTAAATTGGATGGATGATTGGGTTAGGAAAATAAACAAATACATTAAACTGCTATACTGTTCTTAGCTCCATGACTATGACATAATGGTGCAAATATCTGAGATGACATTCATAGGTTAGTGGGTGATTCATAATGGGTTGGTAAGTGTGTGTGGCCGCATGGTTGTTTTTTCTCTCTGTGTTTTTCTAATGATAAACTGCCCAGCTTCTCACCCAATGTCACTTTGAAATGACTCTCAGCCAACTCTGTGGATTACAGGATAAAACAGGTGTAGCTGATAGATGGATGAAAATAACAAGCGCAAGCCGTCAGTGCACCACCTCTCTTGTCCATAGAGTAACGGAGTCAGAAAACATTAGACATAATTAAAACTACATTATTTAAACTCAAGGCATTATCTGGACCTGTTTGTATTCCTTTATGAGACAATCTCCTTTAAGAACACAGTTTAGACAGCATCTATGCTTTCTGTCTCACCTTTTACACATTATATAAAATTTCAAGCTAGATATTTCCCTTAAAAATGAGAAAAATAACTATTCAAAACCCATCTGCTTGTTTGTTTTTGTAACTTTTAAACTGACCAAATGTGCTGTTTGTTTTCAGATGAGATCAACTGGCCTGAAGGAGAGGATGCTCCCCCTTCTGATTCCCAGGAGCTCATTACCTTGCTTCTGAGACAGAATCCTCTGGAAAGAATGGGAGCAGGTGAGACAACAGCAAGGGAAACGGCCAAAGAGACTTGGAGAACTACAGAGGCACAGCAGGCCAACATAAATTATGTGCAACATCAGCAACATTATTTTCCCCAAGTCACTGGGGAAGAAATTGAGGTCACTGAACAACAGAGCAGTTTATCCTGTGACCTACTGACCTATTCCCTTTGATCAATTGCAATTATTTCTTTGCTGCTCCATGAATCCAATTCCCTGCATGATCAGACACTATCAGAGCATAAATCTCCAGACTGTAAAAGTGACCATGACTGGACACAAAGGCCGGGCAGGTCCATGCACGTAGCCTTTTCAGTCAAGGGACAGCTGGGCCTCCTTATTCATCCTTTCTTCTATTTCACAAGCGTCTCCCGCTATTTTACAAAAGGTCACAGGCAGGAAACTGTGCTGCATAATTTATGGTCATTGCTATTGCTTTGCCTTGGAGCCCCGAGGGGAAACACAGCATAAGCATTTTTTCATCTCCTGTGTTCAACTTAACCATTGCGTGTCCAGTGATGTGTGCATGTGTTTCCCCCCCCCCCCCCCCCATTTTTCTGCGTCCCACCCGTAGGCGGAGCTGCTGAGGTGAAGCAGCATCAGTTTTTCCACAGTCTGGACTGGAATGGCCTGCTAAGACAAAAAGCAGAGTTTATTCCACAGTTGGAGTCTGAAGATGATACAAGCTACTTTGACAGTGAGTTACACACACTGAAGATTCTTCTATATCAACTATTACCTTCATTTTTTTTTTCCATCTTAAAGGTAGATTTTGTAATATTAGTTTAAATGCACAAAACAGTTAAAAACCCCTTTGAAAATTTTACTTTGTTGCTGAAGTAGTCTGGTTAACTTGAAAGCCAGCTGAAAAAAGGATTTTAAAGAGTGATTTAATGTTGCGTCCACGCTGTCTTCAGCATGCGAAGATGACGAAGTAGCACTGTCCAGGAATCAAATTTTCTTTCATGACTTCAACCTTTGTCAATCATGGTGGAGGACAGGCAGTCGATAAATAAGACTGTAAAACCAATGATGGTTGAAGCTCTTGACAAGCAGCCACTGGAGAGATGGAAGATGAGCAACATGTATTTTTAACATGAATTTTCAGCGCAGAATCCTTAACTCTTGACCAGAGCACTTATCCTTATCCAAAACCAATACTTGCCTTATCCACTTCTCTATGTACTTGAAACTTAGCCTGGTAGGTTTTTTGGACAACCTTGCTGACAAAAAAAAAAAACTGCACTGAGCGCATTCCTTTAATTTGGCAGGAGCAGTAACCTGTAATCACTGAATGCAATGAAAAGCAAGTGAAACATAAATCTCTCTCTTTCCAGCTCGCTCGGAGAGATATCATCACCTGGAAACTGAGGAAGAGGATACAAACGATGAAGACTTCAATGTGGAGCTACGGCAGTTTTCCTCCTGTTCTCACAGATTTTCTAAGGTGATTCCCACTCACTCTGTTCCCAGGCTAATACAAATACATTACTGATGTAAATAAGACAATACCCCCCTCCCCCATCTGTCCACATTACCCTCTCATGGGAAAGGAAGAATCGCCTTTCTTGTTTTATATGGAAATGTGTCCAGATAAGAAAGTTTACTCTGCATACGTTTTCTGCTGGCACATCAGATCTGTTTTTTCCCCCCCCACTAACGTGTGACATAATATGCAGTCAAACCAAACAAGCTGGGAGTCATTGTTGTGCTGCATTGCAGCAATCTCCCCGCTCACATCAGAACGAAACATTACAGAAAGCAGCAGGGTGTCTCAGTGGATGTATTGAGCTACACTGAATCTTTCCCTCGGCTTCACTGGCTCCTCGTGCTTGTGAGACATGATGAGGTTGCACAGAACAGACAGCTTATGTGATATTCACAGGTCACAGTGTTTGTCTGCCACTGTGTGCTCCCCGCAGAATATGGTGCGATCGATGTTTCACAAACCAAAATTTGGCGTATTTTGCCTGCATAAAGTGAATGATTGTTGCTGTGTGGTTTTCAGGTTTATAGCAGCCTAGATTTGTCCCGTGGACACCTGGAAGAGAAGGGAGAGGCAGAGGAGAAGAAGAGTGAGAGCCCGCTGACTGTGGACTCTCTCAGCTGGACGCCAGACTTTGCTGAAATGTACAAACATCTTCGGCTCTTTTCCTCAAAATTTTAGCACCACTTAAAAGTGAATGAATCCAAACATGATTTGGCTTTTACTCGATCTGTTCACCTCACGAGAATTCTTCGTCTCTCCGATTCAGGCCTTCGCTGTCCCACTCGACAGACACGGACAGCATGATTCAGGGCTCCCGTCCAAATCTGCTGCCAAAGTTTGCCATCTCAGCTGAGAGCGAAGGGGAGGACACCTCAGGCCTGGGTGACCCCAGCAAGGCCTCCTTCTCTATCGGAGAGCTGCCACAGGATGAACCTGATGTCGCCACTCCTGGAAGCACTCACAGTGGAGCCACACTCTCTGGTACGACTCGCAGTGTCAGGAATTACAGCATATGCTGCCAAGGTTCCGGTGCTTGGATAAAGTTTAAAAGAATCAATATGATGATGAAACTGAAGAGTAAAACCTCTTCTATTTATACTAGTCAGCAGCTTCCAATACGAGCCACCTTATTACTCCTGAAAGAATTCATGGAAGAAATTGGATTTTTGAAAGAAACGTAATTATTTTTATTACTTGTATGAAAATGACGCACATGAATATGTCTCTCTTCTTTCTTTACAAAAAAGTTGGTTTTTTTGCCCCATTGCATCTCCAGCATAAACTACTGTATAACTCAATACTCGTCTTTTGTAATAATTAGGAAGTTTCTCAGAACACCTCGACCTGCTGACACCCCGAGGTGAAGGTCTGGAAAGCCCGGACAACACCAGTCATGGCTCTACAGACCAGGGGCCTCAAACCACTTTGTTACGGCCTGACAGTGCAGAGAGGAGCAGGGCTTTGGCAAAAGTCCCAAAGTCCGTGTCAGCTGGAAACCTTTCCCTTATGATCCCTGGGGGTAAGTAGAGAAACCACAGGCATTCATAATGAGAGCATCGTATGATATTGCTTTACAAGGCGTTCTCCTTGAAAGTGTGTACGATATAATAGATCAAGATTTGAATTAATAGCAGCGAGACAAGAGCGCACCATGAAAGATTGTTCCAGCGCGACACCTGCTGTGAGCTTCATTTTACAGCGCGACTGCCAAGTCCAAGCAACTAACAAACACACTCAGCCAGGGCCTGAGCCCCAGCTCTTCACGGCCAGGAGAGAAAATCCCATTAGCTTCATCTGACAGGCTTCACAGTAGCACCTCAGTACCCTCTTCAGGGCCAGTTGGAATCTGATTTAATAAAAGAATCTACTCAGGTGGTGATTGTCTCTTATTTCTACAGATATCTCCGGGGCGTCTCCGCTGGCCAGCCCTCTCTCTCCTTACTCCCTTTCGTCAGACCCATCCTCAAGAGACTCCTCACCAAGCAGAGACTTCTTAAATTCTACCACTAACCTGCGACAGCCTGTCATCATTCATAGCTCTGGAAAGAAATTTGGCTTCACGCTGAGGGCAATCCGGGTGTATGCTTGTTACAGTGATATTTACACTGTCTATCACATGGTCTGGGTAAGAGCCATTTCACTCTGTATGACAAATTAGTCAGTAAATTGTTGGGATTTATAACTTTCTCATAGCTTTAAGGGCTCTTGAGACAGCTCTTCAAAGCTATTTTGATGTCAAAATAATTAATTTAAGAATAAGGTCCACATATTAGAAACCTGTTGAGGTATTTGACTTTTCCCTCCTCATTCAAGATGAATTATGGGAGTTGTTAAGCTTTCTCTGGCTCCAAAGCTAAAAAGTAAAGTGCAATGTTTTATTGTTAGAAGCAAATTCATTTTCTGGTGCTGCTTCTTCTACAATACAAACCAAAGCCCAAACAGTTACACTGGTAGGCATAATGTAAAATTAGGTATTTTACCTTTGAGTTTTTTAAAAAGTACCTGTGCAGTGTATTTTTAAGACAATAATCAGTGAAGATCAGATATCAGTGATGATAGTAATGTGGTCTGATGATAAAGATTCCCTTATCATATTAATTGTTACTGTGTCCTGACAGTACAGAGGAAATCAGCTCTCTCTGGCTCCCCTTAGTGTTTTTTAATTGCTTTTGCAAGAACCAAATCCGGTCTAATGAAAATGGCTAATTAGAGCAAGGACAAATCTTTAATCTACTCAACACAATCATAGAATGATCTCAGACTGGTTCATTATATCTTAAAAAGACCTTTATGAATCTTCACAATTTTCAGCACTAAATTAAAATACAAACTGTTCTCTTCCTTATATCCTATTAGAAGATGTGTGGAAGCAGTTAAATACTTTTCAGAATGAATGAAACAGAGAGTATAAAAAACTTTTTCTTTGTCTGTTATTCAGAGTGTAGAAGATGGGGGACCTGCTTTTAAAGCAGGACTCAAAGCTGGAGACCTTATAACTCATGTGAACGGAGAACCGGTTCATGGTCTTGTCCACACTGAAGTGGTGGAACTCCTACTTAAGGTAATTACTTTTATTATGTATTTCAAGTTTTCTGCTCTCTGTGTAACAATTATATTTTTATGTTTGGTTAAATTTCTAATTTGTTTTTAAATGAGTGAAATGTACCATTTTGTCAACCGAACGCCACTGAAATGGGACTGTGTAGGAGAAAATATGTCTGTGTCAGAATACACACCCACATCGTAGACACCTATATGTTGATATTAAGCTAACAGTGCTTAACAAAATGTTTTAACACTATTCTGCACTATTCTGGAAAAACTCACCAAATGAAGTAAAAGACCAATTATTATTCCTGTCTAGCTTTAATTTTGAACTTTTAAGGAATTATTTAAACCATGTCAATAACTACTGAAGTAGGCTAGTACATTTTTATTGCCAACATAGATATATATATATATATAGGTTATATATTTATTTGATTTATTTTTTTACTCTTTAGAGTGGTAGCAAAGTGGCCATCTCTACAACACCTTTTGAAAACACTTCGATAAAAACTGGTCCAGCCCGGAGGAACAGCTATAGGAGCAAGATGGTGCGATGCGGCAAAAAGCCCAAGAAGGAGAAAACACCAGAAAGGTACAAACACACATACATACATACATACATAAACAAATGTGTAATTTATTTGAACATTCTTGTAAGAAACTGGGAAAATGTGAAAAAGCTCTGGATACCATTTCTGGAGCCACTTCCTGTGGTTTAAGAAAATATATTACTCTGTTCCAGAGGTGTTACATTTTTTGGTCTGCATCAAGTAAACAACATAGAATTATGACACTGAGGGAGCATTTGAATGATTATTATGAAAGAATATGGAAATACACAGTTTTATATGGAAATGACTGCTTTATGCAGAAGTAGGAATTTCACACAATGTTTTTTTTTCTAACTCTTTTCCATCACTTTGTTCTGCAGGCGGCGCTCTCTTTTCAGGCGTTTTGCCATGCAGCCTTCTCCTCTCCTCCACACGAGCCGCAGTTTCTCCTCCCTCAACCACTCTCTGTCATCTGGTGAGAGTCTCCCCGGCTCCCCCACTCACAGTCTCTCCCCTCGTTCCCCCACTGCCGCAATCCGTCCCGCTCCAGATTTCACCCAGTCAGGTGGAGATTTTATCTCATTGTGATAAAATCTTGAATGGCACTCAGATCGTATTTCATGGTACTATTCAGCAACCTGTACCCATTGTGTTTTGTGCTTCTTAATTCCAGGTGGCAACTCCTCCCAGAGCAGCTCACCCAGCTCCAGTGCTCCAAACTCTCCTGCGGGCTCAGGACACATCCGTCCCAGCACTTTGCACGGCCTCGGCCACAAGCTGCCGGGTCAGAGGCTCCGACAGGGGCGTCGCAAGTCCGCCAGCAGCATCCCCCTCTCTCCCCTGGCTCGCACACCATCACCGACCCCTCAGCCAACATCTCCCCAGCGCTCTCCCTCTCCTCTTCTTAGTGGACATTCTGTAGCACTTTCTAAGACAACCCCAACCTTCCCAGCCAAGATACACTCTCCTCCCACCATCGTGCGCCACATCGTCTGCCCCAAAAACACTGAGCCTCCTCGGTCGCCCCTCCTCAAGCGTGTCCAGTCCGAGGAGAAGCTGTCCCCATCCTATTCAGGAGAGAAGAAGCACTTGTGTCCCAGAAAGCACAGCTTAGAGGTCACCCAAGAGGAAGAGCAGGATGAGGAGCTGAAGGCTGCTGAGTGGGATCACGTTGTCCGGCAGAGCTCGGATGAAACTGCCGGTGAGGCGCTGGCAATTACCCGAGTGCGGCCTGTTGAGCAAGGCTGCTTAAAGAGGCCGGCCAGCCGTAAGATGGGCCGGCAGGAGTCTGTGGAGGAGCTCGACAAAGAAAAACTGAAGTCGAAGATGGTGGCAAAGAGGCAGGACTGGTCAGAGAGGAGGGAGTCTCTGCAGAAACAAGACGCTCTGCTTGAATCTGACTCATTTCCGCTACATAGCGATGAGAGGGATGAAGGGCTTTTTGTGCGCAACCAAAACAAAACCCAGAGCAGCACGGACCCTGGCCTGTTGGACTCTAAAGCTGCAAGCTCGACCCTCAAAGATGTTCTGTTAAAGAAACTGTCCACACGCGTCTCTGAGGGCATCGCTGAAGCTTCCGGTTGCAGCTGTGAAAGCGAAGGGGCCCCTCGAACAGCCCAGTGCTCCATCCACCCCGAGAGGCAGCACTGTCGACAGGCTAAAGACGCTCTGAAGTCTGACAGACTGGACTTCAAGGCTCCCAACATGGAGTTTACCAGGAAGAGGCTGTCATTTGAAGAACGAGATGACTGCATGTGCCGGCTGACGTCTGGCATCCACGAGAACCTCCACTTAGGCTCTATGAGGTCTAAGAGTCTGCAGCTGGACACAGCCATGACTCATGACCACATGAAGGCAAGCCTTCACTCAAACCATGATGGTCTGGCCTCCAAGCTTTTCTTAGGGAGAGGGGAGAGTGCTGTGGAAAAACTCCATCTCATTTCCTCTACAGAGTCTCCTCTAAGAAAGACATCATCTGACTATAAGCTAGAGGGCCGTAACGTTTCCTCTCTGAAGCCTCTTGAAGGGACCCTGGATATTGGTTTGCTTTCAGGACCCAGAGTCTCTAAAACAGAAAACAGTTCACCTAAAATAACAGACAACACTAGCAATGCTGTTTCTTTGAGTCCTTCAGCTCGGCTTCAAAGCCCAACTGAGAGACAGAAAACCATCCCCCAGCTGAAAGCCACAGACAAAGTAAAAAGCCCTCTGACTCGTTTGCCAAGCCCTGAAGCTATTTCTCCTTTAAGTAGCGCTGTTGTCGCCAAGGAGCAGTCAAATAATGCAGCTGGAGAAATAAAAAGTGGTGAAAAAGCACAGGACAGACCTGGAAAATCATTAAAGGCTGCGACCTGTGGTGTCAAACAGGAGGGCCGGACTAGTGTGAAGGCCTCCTCTCCGCTGGCTCATGACCACCGAGGCCCCCGGCACACCTCCCACTTCTCCTCCTGTGGAAAAACACCATCCATACGGGAAGTGAGCAATGAAGATCAGGAGGACGAAGTGGAGCTGCAGGAAGTCACACCACACACTGCATCCCAAAGTACTGGCTGCTCTAAAACAGAGGCGTCTTTGACTTCAGCAAAGCTGGAGTCGGACATTAAAACTCCTACACGAGGGAAGACTCCAGCTACATCTGGCAGTGAGCTATTACCTGGTCCTCTGAGGCAAAATGCAAACTCCGGTTTGGATACAGGTCAGCTTCAGAACTGTGGAAAAAACCTAAGTGCTGCACAAAACTCAACCATGACCTCTGTTTCAAAGTTGGTACAGAACGTCTCTGCTTCTGCACAGGCTCCAGAGAATGTGCTTTCTAAACAAATTGTTCTAAACATCTGTTCTTCAAATACTCAGCCACAAGTTTCTGTCACAGTGTCAGCATTTGGTGCTGAATGTGAAAATAAATCCAGCACTTTAAAATCAGAGGGCAGCTGTGAAACATCTGCTGGTGCAAATGCTGTGCAATGCAACAACTCGGCTGTAAAAGTGACAGAAATCCACCCATGCATTGTTAAACTGGAGCAAAAGGAGGATGTTTGTACAACAAAGCCAGACACCTCACTGCATACTGCAACAAAGGACAAACTGAATGTGAACAAAAAGAATAGCACTGTGGCTGCTGGTGCAGCAGAGGACACACACCAGCAAAAAGACGTTCCCATTTCACCAAAGAGCACAGGCAGCGTGAAGGATTTAGAACAGCTGTCCAAAAAACATCCAGCTGAAAAAGCACAACATAAATCTTCTGATTCCGTATTTAAGAAAGAAGATACTGTTGTCAGGGCAAACACTGTGGTCCCCCACGCCAAACTGAAAGGCGTGGTTTCGGCAACTACAAATGAAAATCTGTCAAGTCCCAAAAGTAAGTCCAAGCCTGACCTCCAGGCTGCCCCACCCACATCTGTAAAGGAGACTAAAGCAGCTGAGGTGAGGTCCAACAGCACAGCCCCCACTGTCCAGGCAGCTAAGTGCAATTCAAACTCAAAACAGAGAGATTTATCTGGAGAATCTGTGACCGAAACTTTCAATTTGAAAGCAACCCACGACACTAAACTGAAAGAAACCCCAGCAATGTCCAGAACTGACATGAAGAAGGAGGTATGTATGCAGCAGAAGCAGTCACTGGCTTCCAGTGATCTAAAGCAAAGAGACACTCGCACCAGAAGTCCTCCCGCAGTAAAAGACAACGCAGACCCAAAGTCAAAAACTCTTCAGCCTAAAACCATCACACCGTCCACCCTAAAGCATGCCACAGCCCCAACACCAGTTAGTAAACAACTTCTTGACGCCAAACCTAAGGACCACACACCCAAAGCCCAAGATCGTGACTCCAAGCCGAAAGACATCATCTCGCCTCTCCCCGCTTCTCCTCCATCTGATCCTCCGCCAGCGAAAAGAGAAGCAACCCCACCGAGCAGCGCAGCCACCTCTGGCAGGGTGTCCAGCTGTGAGCCTGTGGCCAAGGCATCAAAGGAGGGCCCCAAGTCTGAAACACTCAAAGTGGACAGTCACAAGACCCCAGATACCCGAATTACCACACCCGACAAGCAGGCGCCCTCCGGCCGGAAGGAGCCGGCTGACAAGAAGAAGAGAGAAACAGTTCAAGAGGTCACATCTGCACAGAAAAACTCAAAAAGAGACTCGTCCAGGGCCTCTCCTTCTGCACTCAGAGACTCCTCAGACAAAGACAGTAGCAGGTGTAAACAGCAGAAGGAGTCACCACGAAGTTCCACCAACAGAAAATGAAATCAGTAGCCAACAGAAGAGTCCCTTCAGAGGATCCAGCTGCAACCAGATTGTAGAGAGGATTTGTTCAAGCATCATCATGCCATTTTATTTTTGGTTTGTTTTAGGACCAGGCAAGCTGTTACATGCTGATGTAGGTGTGTGTGTGTGCGTGTCTGTTTTCTTGGTCTGAATGTGAGCAACTGATAACATTTGAAGTCATTATTTTACCCTCGAATCCAGTGAATGTTTGGAAATGTGTGTCCATCATTAAATGCTTTGTGCAATCAGTCTGTCGATGGCAGTGGGCGGAGCCTTCCAGAGGCTGCGATGTGCTGAAGAATCAGTGCCATAAAAGATTTTTGAATTGCACTCTTGCCTCTGAGCCGGGATGACCTGATGTCGAGGTGTTTTAATGCAGTAGACCGCCCCATTTGGCTCGGCAGTATAGCAGCTGTTGGATTGTCTCCACTCAGTGTGATGTGGTCGTTTTTTGCGTTGGGTTTTGTGCAGTGGTACACAGAGGGAATGCACGACAACTTAAATTACAGAATCATGTTCCAGTTCTAATTCATGAATTAGTGAAGGGGCCTTAGAATTTGTGGGAAATAAAACGTCTTGCTGTTCTTTGCAAGATATGGTGTTTATTCACATTCCTCTGACATCTGTACATATATTTTTGATTTTTATGCAATATGGTGTAAATATGACATTGTAAAACAGGGAAATATGGGCTTACATGATTGTCATTTGTATTATATGTAAACATTTTGCAGTGTCATGTTTGTATGCTTAATATTAAGATGAAAAGCTTGATTACTGTGTGGTCTAAGGTGAGCTACTGTGATGTTTTCTCATCAGAAGTATCCTCCTCTTTGTGATTTCTAACATGTTTTCACATGTTCCAAATTGACTTGAAGAGAGAGCAGAGAGGGCACAAGAGGCTAAGTGGGCTATTTAAAAAAAAATGTAGCATTATAAGACAAAACTGTGAGGGTTTTAAGCGTTTTCCAAGAATGTTTTTGTTGTTGACCTGTTTGCTGGGTAAATGCAGTTTGAAGAATGAAAAATCTTGTTTGATTATTAAAAACGAACCAGTACTTTGTAAGGCACCGACTACTGCAGTAGATTTTTAGAAATCTGTGAGTGACATCCAACAGATACAAGCTCAATCCTGCAAGAAATATGCGATCTAAATCGGTTCATGTTCTAGTACATAAAGTGCTTCACTGTCTGGGTGTCTGTGCCGTTTCCAGTCACGTGTCAGTGTGTGGGACAAGCAGGTCTGAAGCTTCACCTGGGCAAAGCTTTAACAAGGAATCCTGAGTATTTGCATTGCATTGTTCACCCATGACATAAATGTAATTTTGGTGTGCAAATGCTTGGTACTAGACCTGTAGGCTGTCATGTATCCTAAATCACTTTCAGCCAATTAAACACACTTTTTACTATAGTTGCCTTTAATTTGCAAATTTTTAGTGACCTCTACAAAGTAGCCTAGAAATCTAGAGTTAGCACGACTTTCTCTGTTAAGGAGGCTTTATAAAAAAAGGTAATCTCATCTTCTACACATATAAAAACAATTCAATTGATACATTCTATAACTAAATGTTCCAAGCACTCTAAGGATTGACAGCAGAGATTTTAATGTTAAAAGAATCTGATGTTTACCTGCATTAGATATTGTAAATGTATTGTCAGAGAACAAACGCACCTTAATATTTACTGATATTCAGTCTGGATTCTAAGCAACAAAGAAATTAGCAGCTGAAAGTGATCTCAACATTCATTTTCATCTTATAAACTCCCCACCACAATTTTTTTTTTTCTCTATGTAGTGAAAGACAATTTAATCCTCGAAGCACATTCAATGTTTGTTTACAACACATCATGGATGTATATTTTGTATATTGTTAATTTGCCAAATCTGTTCAGTGTCTGAGACGATGTTGCTTCTAGCCGTGTGTGACTTTACTCCCTTGCCACCATGTTATTTGTTTGTGCAGTATTGGTGTTTTTCATTCGTCCGGTTCCTCTTTGTTGGCTTGTCTTTTCAGTTTCCTTTTCCTTCTTCCTCTGAGTAAAACTAGTATTAGATAAACTCTGTCACAGTGGTTTGTCTTATAGAATATGTGCAATAAAAGTGTTTTGAGTTTTGTATTTTGCTCAAGGAAAGCTCTATGGATGTCATAGATGTTGTATATTAACAGATATTTATACTTCTAATGTTGCGTAATACTGAAAATAAAATGGAATAATAAATTGTTCTCTTTGTATTTTATGGGTCCTCAACAAATCTCATAAAACATGTTTTACTAATTGCATATATCGAATCTAATTTTAGTTTGGTCATTTGGTGCCATTTCACCTCGTTTTCAAAGCTGATGTTAGGAATAACTTCTGAAATCATTTGTATAATGTAGCTCAGCAAATTCAAAGCATCTGAACACATCCTCAGCTGCTGAGCATCTCTGAAAGAGGTCTCCGGTAAACCGTATGTGTGATGTAGTGCCAACAGGTGGCAGTGTCTCCCTACCTTCCACTCTTCATCTGTTATGCAATTTCCACTCTGTGGAGTTACATAGGAATAATGAAGTGCAATGTACAGAAACGCTCTACAGATTAGATCGACTCTGATAACACGGCATGTTACCACCTGCTTGCTTTACTCAGATGTTTTTAAAAAAAATCAGCAGTTATACAAATGAGTGGGAGTGAAATTCTAGATAGGATCTGTGGGAACATGAATATTAATGAGGAAGCCCCACATGACACATTGTGTTCTTATGTCTTATGCAGAAACAAGTCACAGATTATTTTATGTGTATTTCCATTCAAGATTAAGAGTGATAGGGGATCAGTGTCCAGACAGACTGATGACTAGGAAAATATAGATGAAATATTAAATGAAAGTATGAATTCAAATAAAACTACTTTTGGGAGAAAAGAAGTGCTGCAGCAGCTCCCACTGGGCAATGAAGGAACATTATGGTTACCACTTTATTAACAGTAATTACATTATTCAATCTTTATCTCACTTCCAGCAGGGAACTATTTCCTCTCTTCAAGTGTTTTCTCACTAATATTTTTCATCATGTCTACAGTAAAGCAGTAAAAACATAAATTTCGACCCTGAATATATTCCAGACAGTGAGAAACAGCCATCTATTTGTGTTCCTATAAAACAAGCCCTTATAATGCATGTGTAGGGTCTGCTGCTGTTTGTCATCAGTTTTAATACTGGTGATGTTACCTTCTGCAGATTAGCCATTCAGTAGAAAATTTAAACAGGCTTTAATGAAACGTACCGTCATTGTTGCGTCAGAGAGGAAAAGCTGGTTGGCCCTTGATTTATGAAAGCTGATCCATATCAGTGATGGGACTTTGCAATATTCTTTGTTATCGATACTGTGCAGACTTACCAGATATGGAGAGAGGGGGTGGTCAGATGTACAAACAAATGTACTTCATGAAAAGAAAAGACAGCTTGTACAAGGAATAAACAAGATTATTTTAATGTTGATCGGGTTTTGTGACTGCTGTCCTGAGTCCTTGAGTTTAATCTCAGCTGTAAACACCACACAACTTGGCTTCACAGAAGATCAAAGCCACTGCAAAAGCACGTTTCAAGCTCTCTCCCGAATATATAACAAATGAAGGAAAAAACTATTATCAGATGAAAGTGGAACTTTTTGGTGATCGAGGAAAATGCCACATGTGGTCAATTCTCCCAGAAGAGCCGGAGCAGAGCGTGGGAAATTTGGGTCGAGTTGAAGGAATGATGGATGATTCTAAATGCAGGATAAATTCTTGAGAAAAAACAGTTTACACCAGTACAGAAGTTCACCTTTTAGCATGACCTCAGACACACGGCTTGTGCACGACTCCAGGACTTTAAGGAGACACCAGAAGACACTAACAAGAACAGGAGCATCCCTTTCTATCTTTAGGAAACTCTTAAAGACCAGCCCCTTCGAGGAGCATCTCTTATCCTAACTCTTCCTCATACCCCTCTACTACTCTTTCTGCTCTTCCCTCTCTCTCTCTTTGCTGTCACCACTTGCTCTGACTGGGGATTTTCCTCTAGAGAACTCATTGTCGTATTGATGATAACTGTAAAATTGTGTCTACTTTCTAAGTCGCTTTGGATAAAAGCGTCTGCTAAATGCATAAACTTAAACGTAAACATAAACACCAATCCAGGGTCATGAAATATTCTTTTAAAAATCCAGGCCTCAATTAGATTGAGAACCTGGCGTTTTTTCGGGGGATGGCTCTTTTTCTGTCTTGAGCTGCCCAAAAAATATCAAATTATTCTCATTCAAGATTGTGAGAAAACAAAATGTAAAAAAAAGAATTTGCCACCAATTTACCGATTAACTTCTTTCCGCTGCCTTGTAGGAGCAGTTTAAAAGCTCCTGCTTTTACAGCTGATGCTACAGAAGTAATAGTGGACCAAGAGCTTCTGCTTAGTGACGCAGAAACCAAGTTTTAAAAGAAATCATGGCTCTCGGGACATTGTGACTGGCTGCTTGTTGCCCAGCAGTCACATGAATTTCTGCGAGACGGTAATTGTTCCACCGTTGAACTCTTCCAAACACACTGGCCACAAACACTGGACCTACACAGAGCGTCGTTGTCCGAGCTCCGAGGAAGTTACGTCTCATAAACTTCAACGCTGGCAAAAGTTTCTGTGAAATAGAACATTTAAAAAAAGTAATTCCTTATAAAGAGGGAAAACTACACAACCAGACACCAATGACACAAACCTTAAAAAAGCTTTCAGGCTCACAGGCAATAACAAAGTATGGCTCACATAAGCCAATATGTTTCCTGACAATAGCTTGTGGTTTTGGAATTGAATTCTGGCCAAATAGTTCTCCACGTGCACAGTTTCCAGGACCTGCATGCAAAATTCATTCAAATTTGACATGTCTATATTACTCATATCGTTATAGATGCATGCGAACAAAAACTCAAAAAACAGAAATAGGGACTCCACATTTTTATAGGCACCCTCAAGAAGCTCACAAATAACTTTGAATTTCTTTTTTTAACTTTATATAACAGCAAAGTGCCTGTTGGACTAAAAACCAAACTGCTAAACCTCTTGGGTCATTAAATGGGAAAGTCACAAAAGTCTACAGGCTCCCTCCTTTGGGGATAACCAGATTTGACAACCATCCTTCTCTTTTTTCCCCCCCGAATAAAACCTCCTGAATCCCCGGCTTGCCTCGACAACGAAAGGCAAATGAGAATCATATGAACGCGAGTAATGAAAACAGTGGTGAGAAGACTGCCTGTTCCTGTGCACACGCAATCTGAGACACATAGATAAATCCACTCTGGCCTGTATTAACTTCTCTGCTGGAATTTGTTCGAGTACATTCTGTGACTTGGGGAGAAGCCAAAACTCCAGCCCTGCTCTCATATCTCATGTTGCAACTAATGGCTTCTGGCCGAGTCCTAAGCCACTGGGCCGTAGCGCACACGGGGAGGAGCGGGCTCATCGTGTAGGAGTAGATACGCTCTCACGTCAGGGAGAATGAAAAGAGCCCGGCTTCTGTTTGGGAACAGACAGCAGTCTTCACAGTTTCCGTTGCTCTGAAACTAAACGAAACGCTTTATTTGCATTTTATCACGACGATGCAAAACAAAAATAACAACCGAAATAATTCAGCTGCAAACCACACCATGTAATATGATCTCAATCCAAACCAGTCTTTCATATGTCTTATTTCCACCTTTAATGCATTTTTATGTGCAGAGGCCGTTTTTCTCTGCAGAGTTACACGAATGATGCAATGTGGACACAGGGAAAAGTGAGGGTTTGTGAGTGTGGGTGGCGCCTGGTTGAGTGTGAGAGAGCAAACACTGAAGTCACATTATGGAGGTTACTGGGAGGGTGGAGTGAAAATATAAGAACATTATTTTAAGAATTCACGGAAGTGTTTCTGTCACAACATTTCAATAAATAAACAGTTAAGGGTTTGGAATGGATCCCGTGTCCTAAAAAACTCAGTTTGCGCAAACAAGGCGTCTCCTTGTGTGGCAAAATACAAAGGATACAATAATTAAAACCTTTTGTGGCCGGTGTTGTTGTAACTAAACAAAAGCTGTGACTGGATGCTGTTTGGCAGGATGATATTTTGGTTCTGATTCCCGTGTCAGTGTTAGCCGTGGTCAGTCTGCCAACTCTTCCAGTTCAGATTCATTCCAGTTTCGACAAAATATGGACCTGTGCCCTTTTTTTTTGTCAAAAAAGATCATAGGCCTGTTTCTGAAAATAACTGTTAGTTCTTTGTTCTCCAATTTTCTTTTGAATTGGTTTCTATTTTTTTAAAGTACTGACTTTTGGATTCACACAGTTTGGCTCTGCGTGGGGTTGGTTGAGCCATCACTGTTGCTTAGTCTAGTTTTTCATAAAAGGTTTCCATTTTGTTTTAAAAAATTACATTTACTCCGCGAGGCTTTCACAAACGCCTTTGGGTTTTTTGCTTAACAAAGAACGAGAACTTTAAATTGCAGGTGACTAATCTCTTTCTAAAATCAGGTCACATTATCAGATTTTTAAATGAAAGCAACACTTTATTTGTTGTAGTTATTTATTAATAACCCCAAAAATGTTTGGAGTTGAGATGGTGGGATTCTGTACAAATTTCCTTGCAAACAGAGTGTGATCAGATCTTATATTTTTCAACTCACAGTCTGGTAACACAAGTCTGTCACTGTTTGACTTAGAAAGTAGCTAGTTAAGGAAAATTTAATAGATTTTTTTTAAAACACTGGACTGCATTTGTTTTCTAAATTCATAGTGAAATCATGCACCCAATAACAACAAATATCTGCGAATATAAGAGGCTGCAGAGAGAACTTTTGGCTACATAAAAGCTTCACAAGTTTCTTCACAAGACTTTTTTTTAATCAGTCAAACCAACTGTAACTCCACCCACATTTAAAGTTACTTCCTCAGTTCCTCATAGTTCGATGTTAAGGTGGTTTAGTAAATATTTCAGAAGGAACAATTGATAAGGGCTGGAAAACATCCTCGTCTCTCCTACCAAAACTGCAGGTTTGGTACTCACAGCCAAATTTCATAAGGCCGGTGCAACAAATCGAAATGAAATGCTCAGACTTGGCAATCTTCTAGATGCTTTATTGATCCTGATTAGGTGTGAGTCTGGTGCTAAAAAGCCAGCTCACTGCACAGCTGATTGATAATCCCTCTCCTTGCCGCAGAGCCCGTGAGTGCAAAAGGTCAA